AGGCGGTGGTGATGTGAGCTGATATGATTGAGAGTCGGTGCTCTCTTGTTCAGGCAACAAAGTTTCACTGTTTCGCCTCACAGATGCAAACGGAGGCGGTGGGGGAGGAGGCGGTGGTGATGGGAGCTGATATGCTTGAGAGTTGTTTCGCTTCACAGATGGTAACAAAGTTTCACTGTTTCGCTTCACAGATGCAAATGGAGGTGGTGGGGGAGGAGGCGGAGGTGCTTTGAGCTGATACGCTTGAGAGGCGCTGCTCTTTTGGCCTACTGAATGGTATGCAGGTGGAGGTGGTGGGAAGGTAGGAGGTTGAGATGTAGAACATATTGCAGGAGTTGCCAAAGCTGAAGCATACACAGACTTCCAAGGAGGAGATGGAGGCAACACGGTTCCACCGCTTGGTCTCTCATTTTCAGAGTAACTGTCATTTTCAGTCAGTGGCGGAGTTGATGAACCTGCTTGTGGAGAGTGTGAAACTGATGCAGTGGCCTCACTGGTTAGAGAAGATAGGGGTGGAGAAGCCTGGTGGGGAGGGGCAGTAGGTAGAGAAGACGGCTTTTCCTTTGGGCTAGAAGCTGGTGATGAGGACATTGGAGCTCGACTCCTCATATCCGGTGAAGAAACAGACGCTCTCAGGTATTTAGTCTTAGCATCCTTTGGAATCACTCCATCAGGTGATGTAGCTCTTTTACCATCCTTGAGAGAAGTGGTAATTGAAGCAGGAGCGCTGTTAATTCTTGTTGGGGGATACGCCACATGCATAGAATCTTTATATGAGCCCTTATTTGAAGGAATCCATCGAGACACTGCGTTAGGCTTAGCCATTCTTACGTTCTGACCCTGTGTTTCTTGTTGCTTAGACTTCGGTTTAAGTGAATCTCCAGCCAGCTTTGCATTTGCTCCGACCTGTTTCTTTGGTGTCGCTTGTGCTTTTTCGGATATGGGTGTGTTGAGATTAGAATTTGTTTTCTGAGTCGTAGGTTCTTCTAACTCATCCTGGGAACCATTGCCTTCTCCATCACCTTTGTGTTGAGTCTCTGCTGTTTTAGAATCATTTTCCTTTGCTTCCATGGTCCTCTTTCGCTGCTCATTACCATCATCTATTCCTATATCCTTCACTGAGTCAATATTAGAATCCACCTTCCCATCTGACCTATACTGTACATCATCAACAGTGATATCTTTCACCGGATCCGTGCTACTCTCTGCATGCATATCGTGTTTATGATTAGAATCATCTGATGCACAATCTAGAAACGCATTGGGTTCCACGTCCCCTTTCCACACCTCTTTTCCGTCAGAATCATCTGAAGCATTATCAACAACCACAAAACTATCTGAATCTCTCTTATGGTCAGGCCCATCAATCACATCGCTAAAAATCTCTTCCACCTCAAAAAATTCATCAGGTGAAGCAATATCAAAGTCGTTCTCTTCTTCTGATATTGTAGAAGTTGTGATAGTAGGCACCACGGCATCAGCGCCAGAGAAAAGTACCTGATACATATATGAGTATGCATTCAAACTTAACAGCATTATTCAAAAGATGATCAGAGAAATTTTTCACAACGGCCTACCTCTGCTTTAAATTCCTTTGGGAACTGTTCCTTAGCATCCCAAAGTATATCCATCTCATCGCGGTGGATCATCAAAATATTAGCACGCACAAATGCCGTGTGGAACATGATTCTAAAGACCATCTCCTCACTCACAAAATCATCATGCAAATGAATACATTCCAGAACAACATCCCCTTGAACACGGCACTGTATATCTAATTTCACCAGGATACACTCTTCCTGCAGATGAGATCACACATATGAGCATTTCATTGGTATAGTAATTACTAAAAGAGCTCCTAAACTATAAACTATCTTCTATTAATGTTTTTAATTCGCATGTATATGGCAAACTACACCACCGTCTCAAGTTCACATGGAAAGGAAAGGATATTATTACAACCATTTCTTGTGCATAAATCAGTGAGATGATCACATTGATCAATATGTCACAAAGATACAATGGTCTAGAAGTACCTGTTGGTAGAGACGAGTGTGTTTCTTTGTCTTTAATGTGGAGAAGAGAAGTATGGAACTCCGGTTCGTTCGGGCTTTAGGATCCTGCCCATAAACCCGTAGAATTGGTCTGCAACCTTTTCTCCCTTCAAAATGTGGGAGATCTCTGAGAATCAAGCAATCCAAAAGAAGAGGCGTGTCTGAAGGAGGCCAGTCAGAGCCTAAATTTCTTCTAGAAATGTACTGAAGATATCTGAGTTGAGAAGGCTGTGGGTTTAGAGGCGACAATAGATGAAGAAGCTCCTTAGGAGCCTGTTTGTGTACCATTTCAAGAGTCTTCTGCTCACCATGATACTGCTTTCTGTATAGTAAAAGCCCCGATAACATGAAGGCAAGAACAGGCCAACCACCTCTTTCGCAATGCATCAACAACACATTTTGCTGACCTTCCAACGATAACCAGCTTTCACTAGAGCGTAGGAAGTGATGGATCATTTCAAGAGGTAAAAGCGGGCAACTCTCATACTGCCGTGGATAATCCATTACAGTCATATCGTATTGAGACAACACGTCTGATATTTGACTTCGTTGTTCCCCCTCTCTAAAATTAAACACCATGAAAGATGCATCCGGGAAATGATCCTGAAGCTGCGCCACGATGCCACCCAAGTATACTTTGTACTCATCCTCCCCCATAACATCGCTAGAGAAACAGCAGTCAAAAACTGCAAGCAAGAGTAAAATATGAGACGATCAGCTCTGAAACCTGGAACTACTCCAGCAAAATATCAGCTATCAGAAAAAGGAAACACAAATTCACAAGCTTTGAGACTTTTGGCACTAAAGCGGGAGGTACAATAAACCCATAATCCAAAGAAATATCATTGTCGAACATTAAAGGAAAGCACAGTTTAATTTTTTTTTGGTTTGGTTCGTGTCACACACAAGAGAAGAATATCCCACAAAGCTATAAATTGTCTTGAAAGAGATTCTGATTCTTAAGAAACCTCTTTAATTCAAACAGAGACAAGTTCAGCTCAGCTCAAATGGGGCATCCAATTTGCAAAGCTAAACTTGAATACTCAACGTAATTGAACTGCCAAAACCCCTCCCACCCCAACCAACCAGAAGCTCATTTTAGCAATTTTTTATCCAAATGATCAACAGAAGGAACAAATCCGCCGCAAGTTTATCTCTTTGGAGATGGTTTTATGATCCTTGACAGAGAGGATAAAGGTGAGAAAGTGGTTTTACCATAAACACGCTCCGAGATCTCGAGAAGCCGATCCGGAGGCTTCTTATAGAAGAAGCGACGGAACAGCGCCATCCGGTGGCGCTGTCTCTCCCCCGATCAGATCCAAACCGTCGATTTAGTAAAACAACAAACAGATCATTCCAATTCCGTTGACCTAAACCCCAGATCCCCTTCTTCCCCCAAAATTCACCTCACAAACCCTAATTTTTTCACCCCTTAGGCCACACAAAAAAAGTAGACAAATTTTGCCAAATTACAAGAGCATGATGAAGACCCAATTCCCAGAAAATTCTCCTCTCTCTCTCTCTCTCTCTCTCACACAACCTATAATCCAATTTTGGAAACAACGCAAAGTGTTAATCACAACGCCAAAGTTGAGGAAATTTTCCAAAATGCTTTTTTTTTTGGTTCAAAATGAATCGGTATCTCTCTATGTACAATGCCGAATCTGGTCTCAAAATCGTGGAAAACAAAGAACCTTCGAAGCTAATCAAATAGTTGTTAAAATTAAAAAAATAAAGAGAGAGAAGGAAGTGACAGTGAGATGAAGAATTTCAGGTGAAATCAAGGAGAAAGATGAAGCACAGAATGCAAAAAAAAAAGAACGAAGGAAGATATGAGATTTCGACAAATCTTCCAGCAGTTTTTTTCTCAAATAAAATTTATTTTTATTTATTTACAAAAATGTTTTTATTCATATTTTTAGATTAATTTAATAATAGCAAACAAAAAGCTTTTTTGATTTGTCCATTGTTGTTGCGTAAATTGGAAAATTGAACTTTACGGACCGAACCAAAGCGTCGTAAGTGTGTGGACTTGTTAGAGTTTAGAGAAACGAGCAAGACTCGGTTCGGAGGTTTTTGTACAGACAAGACGGGACGACGACAAGACCGTTCTCTACTCTCTAGGTGAATGTCTTATCCTACGTGGAAATCGTAATAATAAGTTTTTATAATTACAACCACGTTTTCTTACGATTCAAAAAAAAAAAAAATACAACTTGTGATTTTCCCATCTGTCGAAACACGTCATTTTTAGAAAATTCCTGATTCATTCATTCATATGTGAACAAGCCATTAAACATTCACATTTTTTTGTTTGTGAACGTACGTACATACCACATTTATAATCGGTTTATTTATGGTATGGTATTATTATTAATGAGATTAAATAAAATAAAAACTTCAATCGATCCTTTCATTTCTTTACCAACCTAACCGAGATCCAACATCCAGAAGGGCTGGGCTTAGGTTACGGCCCATTGGTCTTCCTGACTCTGAGTGACAACATAGTCACGTGACTCCTTCCTTATGTGTCTCTTTTTTTTTTCTTTTTTTTTTGTCTGTGTCTGTGTCTGTGTCTGTGTCTTTTTCTTCATAGCTTCGTCGTCTCCCTCGGACTGGATTGTGATTCCGAGGTTTTGAACCTTTTCTTGAATAGGTGATATGCCGGATATATTATTCAAACAACGTTGGTTTGGATTATGTTTGTTAACTCGGACGTTTGGACAAAAGTCTTCTCGCACAATTCAACTCTGTTTTCAGAAGTCTATGCGATTTTGATGCTATTGACTGAATTAGGCTTCTCTGATTTATATCGGTGAAGAAGGTGATTTGGTCTACTGAATCCGTCTGTTTGGTTCCTTGATCCGATGTCGTTGTTCCGACGATTCTTCTACAAAACAACCTCCTCTGCATGTAGATCTCCGAGCGTGTCTATGGTATTATACTACTACTCTCTGTTTCGTTTGAACTCTGAACCACAAGACGTTTTCAAAATCAAGTGAAAATTACAGGGGTTTCTTGCGAAATTTGCACTCTTTTTAATCGATTTAAGTAATATTTTGGTGTTGGTATTGATAATCAACTCCATTGTTATATTTGGAACCAAAAACTTACCTTTGCACTTTCGATTATGTTTTCAGTTTTTGGATAAAAGGGCTTAATTTGTAGTGATACACAGTTGGTAAAAGTTTGAAGATTTTTATATCCATTCTAATGTAGTTGCCACCAGGTTTTATTAATTTGCAAATGCTTCCATGGCCGATATTATGATAACACTGATATGGTACTTCATTACTACTTCTAAATTTGAAAATTGACCTTAATACAAAGAACTTTCAAGGCATTCCAAAGCTTTCAAACCGGTTCGACCAATACGGTTTGTCTAAAAAACAGATTTCTTCCAACAAATGAGGATTGGTTTGCTGGATCTGTAATTCTTTAAGTCTTATAGTAATAGTTTATTTCACCCTTTTGAATGTAGGAAATGATAAAAGAGAATAATATTTTCTCAGACTTGAAAGCAGAGAGATATTAAATGCGAGAAAAAGACAAGGAGGAAGAAGAATCAGAGAGAGACGAAAAAAGTAAATAATCTTCTTCTTTCTTTTTTTCTCTTTTGCTCTTTTGCTTGGCGTTTTCTTTTCTTTTTTTGTTTTTCTTCTCTCTCACACAGCACAGGTCTCCTCAACTCCCATGTTTCGCTTCTTCTGAAAGTTTTCTGAGAAAATTCTCCATTTTCCCTGCAAATCCAATCTCTTTCTTGTCCAAAGATAATGGCCCAGCAGATCTCGGATACGCACTTGTTGCTTCTTCCAAAATTGACATTAAAACATTAAAGAGAAAAAGATAAATATTGAGATCCCTGTTCTTTTGGGGGTGTATCCCACTTTCCTTTTTTTTTTTTCTTTTGCATTTTCCCGAGAAAATAAAAAGAAGCTTTCTTTTCTTTTCTTTCTTTCTTCTCTGTTTTCTCAGCATTTTCCTCAAGTAAAGAAATAAGCTTTGAGCTGAAAAATCTCACAAAACTCCTTTCTCCCGTTTAGAAAAGACTCTTCTTTTGGCCTTTTTCCGAAAGGTAGATCCTTTCTCTCTTCTTGTTTCTTGTCACTTTACTGATTTATAAGGTTTCTGGGTTTCTTCTTCTGCAGATTTTTAAGTTCCCTTTATAATCTGTGTTTTTTTTCCTTCATTACTATGTTCTCCTAGTATCTAACTTTAAAGTTTCATCTTTTGCTTCCTTCTTAGGTAGCTCGTTGATGTTAAGTTAACAATGGCGTGTTTTATTCGTTCCTTACTGCTTTAGAAAGCTTAGTTTTTCTTTGACTTTACCTTCAACCACTTATAATGTTTCTGCCAAAAAAAAAAAAATATATTGCTAATAGTCTTTGAGATCTTATCTACAACCTCATCTTCCACTTTTGCAAGTATAGAGAAGAATGAAAAAGCAGATTTGATGATTCCTTGTGGGTTTTGCTTTCTTTTTTCCTTTTAATGGATTTTATTGGTTCATGCAAGTTAATAAAATTGTTTCATTTTTCTTTCTTGGTACAGTAACATTGCTCAAGAGTGTGAAGTGAATGAAAATGCAGCAGAACAGCTTATTCCCGGGGTGCAATTTCTCAAACCGTGACATTACGGATACGAGAAGTGGTTGGAGTTTGTGTCCTGTACAGGATACTGATGCGGTCTTAACCAATAGATACGGCGGCAATTTGAATGTCGATGATACATTCTCTTTATTCTGTAGTGATCTTTACCTTAGCCAAGTGAAAGGAGCGCTGAGGGACACCATGCTTGTACATGAATCTGTCTTTGAAAGTCAGGTGTGTTGTGTGTTCTTTTTAATGCCTTATCTTTGGTGTTTTGTGCTTCCTCCAAGTGAAAAGTTTGATCCTTTTTTTTTCATTTTAGATCAATGAGCTTCATCGTCTGTATCGGAGGCAGAAGGAACTGATGATGGAAATGGAGGGAACTCGACATCATAGGGCCTCGTTCTTAAATTCTGGTTTCCCTATCCCTAGATCACACTGGATGGGTTCGAGCATTTCTGCATATCAAACTAGGAACTTGTCTCATGAAGCAGACATTGCTTACCAGATGGAAGCTGAGCTTCTTGTTGAAAACAAGGTTGAGAAGTTTGAAAAGAAGGTCTTGGATCTGGAATTACCAGTTTTTGAGTATAATGATATGGATGAAGAAGTCCATGAAGCTCCAAACTTTTTGAAACAGCAATCTCTCCGAAGGATGTCTCTGGACTCGGGTCAGCAGTTCAGTAAGCTGCAACTTGATTTGAATGAACCGGCCAAGATCGAGGAACATTCAGATATTGTATTCAATCAGTTCCTGAGTCCACTTACATCAAATGAAATTGGAGAACAGTCCGATACAAAGAATGAGGGAGAAAGTTCGGTAAAAGGTTCCAATGGGACAAATGAAGCGCAAAGATCTGTTAAATGTCGAGAAGGTAAGAAAATGAAACTAAATGTTATGCATATTAGTTTCTTCTCAAGCATTTTGTCACACTTTCTTAATATATTGAAGGTTAACTGATCTGATACTTCTTTTGAGCAGAGTATGGAATTGACTTGAACATGTCTCCCCTTTCATCCGAAGAAGAAACAATTGTTGTTAATAAGTTTGAAACCGAGAAACATCAAGAGTCTTCTTCGGGTTTGGTTCATGGAAAACACAGCTCAGAGCAGCCGAGAGTGATTGTTCAAGCGCTACCATGTTCAACTAGCACTTTAGTTTTGGACAAACGATATAAGTTATTGATGAGAGGCTCAAGGTCAAGGAAGAAGGTAAAGCTTTTTCCAAGTAACAAAACTTTCAAAGGCTCAGATCATGACTCGCACTTGAGTGCTCAAGCCAGCTCAGAATCTCAAAGCAATCAAACAAGTATGGAGAAAGGGAGTTCAAGTTCTTTGTCTGAAGCAAAATCTGCAAAAAAGAGAACCAATCTAGGAAAGAAAAGGCGTTGTAAACCACAAATGAAATCAAGTAAGGGTCAAAAAGTAGTTGCCAAAAAGAGTGGAAGAATGAAACGGAAGAAGAGCAGAAAGATATCTCTTGTTAGAGAGGGTAATTATCAAGAAGTATCTGCAGCTGAGGCTATAGTACATATGTCTAGAAAGTCTAGTCAAGAAACCACTGATACTAGTACTTCCTTGGGCAGAAACCTTCTTTGGTTTGCGGAGATTTCTGCTTCGGTTGCTGAGGACTATGAAATCAGCTTTTTGGAGGCCATGAAATTGCAGCAGAGAGAGAAGAAGCTAGAGGAGCACAAGACACATAAGAAAGAAGCAGCAGTCGCCAACATTGTCCTTGGAAAGCAGAGGAGAAGCCGGGCCAGGCAGGGAAAGCAGAAATGCAAAGACGACCAGCACAATGCTAAGCTGAGTATAAGCACATTTTCAGAACGTGAAGCCAATGAGGACCAGCAGGTACTTGGAAAGCTAATTGAAGCTTCTGAATTAAAATGGCATTGCGGGTTCCTCAAGAACAAGCGCAAAAGCTCTCCTTCGAACCCACTAGATGCTTTCACTTTCTCGGGGGAAGAAAAAACGGGTGTCCATTGGGGAGCCTTAAAGAAGCGAAGACGAAGCTCAAGAATTCCTGCTGCTGATTTTACGCACATGATCATCAACCAAGTAGTATAGCAAAACTAAAGAAGTAATTACTATCCGTACCATAGTTTGCGCCATGTCCTTTTTTTGGAGATGAAGATGCTTTTTGTAACAAGTCTTATTCTAGAGATTAAGACTACATAGGAGAAATCAAACTTTAAGAATATCTGTTCATCAAAAGGCAATGAATGTGTTTTAGACTAGAGATGGTAGTACAGAACAAAGTTGAAAGCTTGTTGTATGAAAGATTCACAGGGCGCAATAACTTTCATGAACCATCATATTATCAGCTAAAGCTTTGGTTTTTTTTTCTCAAATCATATGGTTTCTGATTTTTGAGGAAAACGTCTATAACCAAATCTAAATTGATATCTTATTAAAATATAGAGATCTCCATTGACCATGGTTGAGAGAACTAGACTACATTGAATGAAACAAATGTATAAATGTATGGATATAAATATCAACCAAAAACATTGGCAGACCCAAACTAGATGACTGAAAGAAACAACAAACAAACAAACAAATGTATAAAATGTATGGATATAAACTCTTTGCTTTCTAACATCACAACAAATGAGTATTTCAAGGATTGAGGTTTGTAAAATGAGAGCTTTGAAGAGCTTCTTGTAAGAGTTCATGATCATCCCAAGAATCGCGGTAAGTCTCAAGATTCTCCTGCGAATTATTGAGAGCAGACAAGCATAGTAGCTTTCTCCATTCTTCCAAATGCGGATATCCAACATAATCCGCATACCTATCGCAATACTATAGCCAAAACAGTCAGAACATAACACAGAATTGTTCTTTAGGACATGAAATCAAGAGCTATAAAATATGTTATAAATTATGAACTCACCGTGAAATCAGCAATGTCGTGAGTGTTATGTTTAGGGATTCCAGCAAGATCTCTTGACCGGTAAAACTCTGTGACGGATTGTAACATTTGGTCAGAAGAAGGCAGAGATGACTTTCCAGACAAAACTTGAGCTATCCATATTGCTTGTGCTTCAAAGAATGGGAATCCTATTAACTGCAGAAAGTAAACCACCAAATCTTTTAAATTACAACTTAAGAGTAAAGAAGCTAATGATTTGTTAGTCACACTAAACCAAAAGATGAAAGATGAGACCTTTCTAGGGATACCGACAAAGGAGAGAGAAGGGGAGAGACAAGGAGGGAAAGTGTGTTCGAAGAGTGGCCCAACTCTATCATCATCAACTTCTATTCTTCCTTTACTCTCAAGAAATGGAAACTTGTACGAGTACCTGTTTTTTTTTTTTGGTCCCCCAACATTATTATTAGGATTGCTATTAAAGCAAACATACTTTGAGGAATTCAGAACAAATGACAAAGTTTTGACTATATTATTGAATATGATATCCCCAAGAACTAGGGGTAATGTATTGAGAAGACCAATGTATACTAAAAAAGATTTGTATCCCACTCAATCTGGCTTTATATTTGAGTCCCACATTTTGATAAGTACTCCAAGAACTAGGAGTATTGATATTTGATATGCTTAATAACAAGAAAGTTGCATCAATATGATTTTCTAGTATGGCTAATATCTAAGTTACGCAATATCATGCAGATCACAATGATCAACCATACCTTTTTAATTTTAATTTCTACTTTCCATCTTATTGATTAAAATTTTTTTACATAAAGCAATGCTTATGATGTCGATAAAGACCACATTACCCAACAAAGCCACACCACAATTAATAATTCTAACTTAACGTTAACTTTATTACGGTTAAATCACTATCAAAGGAACCATCATTATCTATTTGTCTTATCTAACGGAAACAAAACAAAAGGTAGTAATTAAAGATCTTTTGTTTATCCATCAACTATATATCTTACCCGGTGCAATATATAATTGTATCAGCGACGACCCAAGACCCATCCACAAATATGACTCTCCCATCATCCTCTAAAGATTCAATCTGTTAAAAACGAAAATCAAAGACTTGGAACTTTTAAATCCAAATTCATACACAAAAATATAACTTAAGATGACTAATATTAGGTGAACAAATAGGACAAAGAAAACTTTTATATGATAGTAAAGAGAACCTGCGGGTGAATAAGAAGGTTTTGGTGTTTGGAAATGACTTTGGAAAGGCCAGAAGATATATCAAGTGTCTTGGAACTCAAATGAACTTCCTTTGCCACTTCTACAAGCTCCATTGATATGTCTTGTCCACTCATTGAGTTCCCAACCACCACCACCACCTATCACCATCATCATGACCATCACTATCATTTATAACCAGCAGAATCATCACCAAAATTAAGGATATAGAGATATTCATTCACCTCATTACGAAATGGATCAGGCACCCTGTATACATGGCTATGGATTTGCTTCCTTTTCCAAGAATCCATTCCTATAGCCACCATATAACCATGAAAAGAAAATCAATAACCATATACATATATACATAAATAGCAAATGAAAAAATAAATGTCAACTAGAGAGATCAAGTAAAGTCAAATAATCAATAAATGTCAACTAGTAGATTTATAAGATGATGAAATGTTAAATAATAGGATTAGGTTAAATAATATCAACAAGAACAATTTAAACCAATAGGATTAGGTGTGTATATATACCTTTAATAGAGGGCAATCTAGGGTGGGAGTAATGACCAGTAGCAACAACAACAGCATCAAAGATCTCTTCCATAACCTTACCACTTAATGTGTCTTTACTTCTCACAATCCACCTCCTCACATCATCATCGTCTTCTTCTTCTTCTTCCCTTACAAACTCAACCCTAACATTAAACCTAATCATCTCTCTTAACCCAAAAGCTTCACAAAAGTCCTTAAGATACAACCAAAGCTCCTTATGCCCTGGAAACCTCCTCATGTCTCTCCCTTTCTTCGCCAAAAAGGGAAAGTCCGAATAACCCATGATCTCTCTCGGTGAGGTTAGCCTCAAGGAAGAGTAGATGCTGCTATGGACCTTAAGTTCACCATGAATGGAACCACTACTTCTTCCCAAGGGATCTTCTTCATCTACGTTAGGTTGATACAACCATTGCCCTCCAACGTCGCCGTTTTGCTCCATTACCACCACTTTGTGCCCTTCTTTTCTTAGCTCCCTTGCGGAGACTAGCCCCGCAGGTCCAGCTCCGATCACACATACCTTCTTTGATCGGCCTCTTGATGCTTCTGATGTTACCGAAACCATTTTTATTAGTTTTCAAAAGAAAGATGAATTGGAAATATGGCTTCTTGATTTGGTTTCTTTGTGTGGTCTCTCATCCGATGTTGGTTTTATAGTTGAAATTTTAAAGACTTTCTCACTACTACTACTCGATATGTCATGTTGCATTTCTCTTTATTTTTTATTTTTTTTTGCTGGTTGTATCATTATTACACTCTAATATTTTATATATTACTTTTATAATATATATGCAGGTTACATATATGAGAGAGAAGGCGTACATGACAAATTAGATTGAGTATTGGTAAGATTTTTTTAAAAAATGAAATAGTTTTTTATTTGTACAAGTGAAATGTAGTACACATTCACATTGTACAACAGTTAAATCCGGATGGTATCACGACAATGGTATAATATTCATGAAGTGTTTCGTACATTTGCAATATAATATATTTTGAATAAAACCACGATGTATTGTTATATATAGTTTGAGATAGTTATAGCTTTATTGGATTGTGCATGAAAACTATTAAAAAAAAAATCATCTATATAAATCAACTATATTAAAATTCAAGACTTAGGGTCTTAAGTACTCTTAATAGCAACACATGACTTTACTATCGAATCACAATCGGTAACATTTTCTTATGTAATATTTTTTTGAAACTTTGTACTTGTAATTACTTTCAAAAACACAATAAATCATTAGTAATTCCACTTTGGAAACCAAATTTTTTCTATAAAAAAAGAAAAATCATCAGTTTGAATTATAGTAAATGGGTCCCGAATTGATATTCAATCAAAAACTCTGACCGATCCATCCACCATATGACTATATTTGTTTGTAGGTCAAAGTTATATATTTCAACGTACGTGAAAGCTAATATAAATGTTTCAAAAACTTTATTTGTTTCTTTTGTTTTCAGCAAAAGAGATTCATAATTAATGTAAGAGAGTCATGATTTGCCTTAGGAAACAATTTTAATATTCGATATATCATTATTGCTTTGGTATTTGATTACGTAGTTGTATGCTAAAAATGGTAACTATAATTAGCTTTGGCAATCGTAGGAAGATACCTGTGTTCGTTCAACCTTCATGACAAAAGTGCCGACTAGAAAAATATCAAAGAAAGAGATAATAATTAAAGAAAGAAAAAAAAAGGTTAGTAAACCCTTTCCAAGGAAGTAAAAAGAAAAGGTGAAAAAAAGAAAGAAAACAGCCTTGAGACACAAAATAATGGCTATTGGCAAAGAAAACTCAGATCCTTGCTGTTAAAAGTTGTGCGCCTTATTAGGGTTTGTTACCAACCTACTCTATTTGTGTATCTTAATATATATATATATATATATCGATATTAATAGAAACAAATTATTTATACGTAATTGCTATGTTAAATAACAAAATTTACGAGCAAAACATATCTACAAAATTTTAAGATCCATATATATGATAGAACCTACCACAAATATAGGTATGTATGTGATTAAATTATATATATATATATATATATATATATATATATATATATATGCAAACATATTATAAAGTTATACATAACCAAATTTTACTGAAATTGGAGGAAGAAGAAGACTTGAGATATATAGGTCCCCTACATATTGGAAAGAGTAAGTCTTAAAGGCAAGGAAACATTACATCGGGTTCTCTTCTGATCCCATCCTCTCATGCATGAACACATCTAAAGCCTAAAGGAACCAAATACATATATATTATATAAAAGGATTTTTTTATTCATCTCATGAAAACCTAATGAGAAAAAAATGGAGATAAATTTTTCTTCATGCAACATATTGGGATTTAGTTTAAGGGATATGTGTAGGTGTTCGGATTTATTTATAAACTAAATTGTGTTTAAGGTCGCCAAAAAAAAAAAAAAAAAACAGAATATTAATATTAGGGTCAAGATCTTTTGCCAAAAATAATATAGAGTAGTACTTAATTATTATTTAATTTATATGTAATAAAACGATGATGATACGTAACGTAATATTAGCATCGGATCC